ATATGGATTGATTTATTTTAAATAATTTATTATTGTAGTTATATGGATTATTTAAATTTCAGTATTGTAAAACTAAAATTATTTAAATCTCAGTATTGCAAAACTCTTTTTAAGTTTAAAAAATCAGTTTATTTATATTTCAGTTTATTTATATTTAGTTCATTTTAGCAGTCTGCAACGTTAAAAAACAAACATTCTTCTTCTTGCAGACTGCAGACTTTTGGTCAACCTCTTCTGCAGATGCCTGCAGGTGTGGTCCGCAGACTGCAGACCTTTTACCTCTGCAAAAACAAACACCACCTAAGTGAAATTCCAGTAAAGTCCAATCATCATAGGGGCACCAACTTAGGTGGTGTTTGTTTTCACTGTGCAAGCTCTTCAAACCACTTATGTCTGCGTCGAGCAGACTACGCGCAGACATTAGGCTTCGCAGACTGTTTATTTTTTAGAAGACAGAAGCTCTTCAAACGTCTGCGCGAGCTCTTCTTGGTGCAGACTTGGTTTTATGTCTTTAAAGGTCTTCAAACCTCTTCAAGAACAATATAAAATAGTTATTTATTAAAATAATTTTAAATAATTTAATAAGGTTATTTATTTTAAAATAATTTATTTTAAAATAATTTATTTTAAAATAATTATAAAATAATTTACTTTAAAATAAATTATTATAAAATATGGATTGATTTATTTTAAAATAATTTATTTTAAATAATTTATTAGTATGAATTGATTTATTTAAATAATTATTAGTATTGATTTATTTTAAAATATGGATTGATTTATTTTAAATAATTATTAGTATGGATTGATTTATTTTAAATAATTTATTTGTATAGATTGATTTATTTTAAAATATGGATTGATTTATTATTGTAGTTGTATAGATGATTTATTTTAAATAATTATTAATATGGATTGATTATTTTAAATAATTTGTTAGTATGGATTGATTTATTTTAAAATATGAATTGATTTATTTTAAAATATGGATTGATTTATTTTAAATAATTTATTAGTATAGATTGATTTATTTTAAATAATTTATTTGTATGGATTGATTTATTTTAAAATATGGATTGATTATTATTGTAGTTGTATGGATTGATTTATTTAAATAATTTATTAGTATGTATTGATTTATTTTAAAATATGGATTGATTTATTATTGTAGTTGTATGGATTGATTTATTTTAAATAATTTATTAGTATGGATTGATTTATTTTAAAATATGGATTGATTTATTTTAAATAATTTATATTGTAGTTGTATGGATTATTTAAATTTCAGTATTGTAAAACTAAAATTATTTAAATCTCAGTATTGCAAAACTCTTTTAAGTTTAAAAAATCAGTTTATTTATATTTCAGTTTATTTATATCTTAGTTCATTTTAGCAATCTGTAGACGTTAAAAAACAAACAATCTTCTTCTTTCAGACTGCAGACTTTAAATAAAACTTTAAAAAATATTGTTGAATATGTATTTTGATATAACATTAAATTGTACAATTGATTTTGGACTTAATTGAATTTTGTCAAAAATTTATAAAAATAATTTAAAGTTTAAATTAACTTGAAAAATATGTTTTTCAACTTAGTCAAATATTTTCAAAAATATACTCAATTGTTTTCGCACTTTAAAGTTGTGTTTTCAAGTTTTTTTTTTGGCTCGAATGATCAATGCATTGGTAAAATGATCAATACCTTTGACCAAAGGATCAATCTCCTTGTAAAAGGTTTGATCCTTGGATTCCAGAAAGTTTGGGATCGATCCCTTCACAAAAGGATTGATCCCTCAAGAAAAATGATTGATCCCTCGATGAAAAGGATCGATTCCCTCCCATAAAGAATTTATCCCTCACCAAAAGGATTGACCCTTCCCTTAAATGATTGATCCCTTTCTTGCAAAGGTCGAAATATTTTAAAAAAAAAATTAATCCCTTTCATAAAATGATTGATTACTTATGCATTAAATGTTATTTTTGGTTGTAGGTAACGACTATAATGATCCCCAACCAGTGGCGGATGCACTAAGCCCCCATAGGGGCCAAGTGCATCCCATTATTTTAGAAAAGTAGTTAAATTTAACTTAATGTGTTAAGGAAAAAAGAAAAAAAAATACAAATTTTGTATACCTATTATTTTAGAAAAAGAAAATTAAAATTTTGGACCACATTCTTAAATTTCTGGATCCGCCACTGTCCCCAATGGCTCCAAACGGCTAGAATTGATAGATAATGTATAGATTGAAGGTTAAAGCATCCCAAGGTTAACAAGAACCATATTGAACAAATATACCGACATCAAAGAAGTCATTTGTGCTTAATTTATCAATCTTTTCATTGTAATACTTTGCCTTGTGAGATTTTCATTTGTTTGCTAAATTTGTAATTACTATTTGAGAGGGTGTGTATTCAAGATTTTGGGTATAAACCTCGAAGTGTATTCAAGTTTTTGAGTATAAACCTTGAAGTGTTGCAAGGTTACAAATTATCCTTAAAGGTAAGCAAATCTAGTGGATTTGATAAATTTTTAGTGTGGAAGATAATGTAGTAGAAATAAATTATTTTTCGAATTGCTTCCACTAAATTATTTGAAAAGTCAATTCATCTCCCTTGGCGTATTTCGGTTGATCGATAAACAAATATTAATATTTAAAAAAACTCAAAATTCTTAAAAAATCATAAAAAATGAAATTTCTTAATTTAAGCTCCTATTATCATCGTCAATTATCTACGACCATAGTTGTTGTTGTCGATCACCTACCCACTCATCGTCGACCACTAATTGACCACACATCTACTTTGTCATCTTTTAACCCCTATAATCTCAAATCCTAAACCTTAATTATAGTACGAATCAAACGACCTCAATTGTTAAAGAATTTATTATCCCTTGAGATATTGAGTTTGAGCTCCGCGTATATCAAAGATATTATACTTTATTGTTAAATGATTAGGAACAAATACTACTATGTATTTATATATATAAAAAAAACCCTAATTATAATAATCGCCGACTGTGTTCTTACACTTGAATTTTTCGTTGATTTAGATATCACATCAATGATGCAAGCGTTGGTGGCTTAATTTTAAAATAGTGCGCCAAAAAGCACGTGGATGCATAAAAAAAATGCTTCTTGAGTAAAAGACGGAACGATGACCCAAAAGTTCATATAGGCACATCTTTTTATAATTTTTTTAAAGAGGTGCAAGGTAAATAACTCCGTACGACATTTTAATATACTATTAAGATGTTATTAAAAGTATTAATTTCGTAACTTAATTTCTAGTAGAAGAAATAATATCTTAGCTAATGTTTAATATTAATATTTTTTTATAGAAAAATTAATATTTTATGTAATTATTTATCAAAAATATTAAAATTTCCGATAATAATTTTATTTGAGCGTATATTAAACTGCTACCTTAGACATCGCTAATAACATTTGACGACTTAAGTGTCCCGAATTCTTTTATTCAGTTTTATGGTGGACACGTTGTTCCACGTGGCAATCATCTATGATTGTAGAGGCAAAAATAGGTGTAGGATCTGTCAACTGTCCATGGCCTTTGTAGCAACAAGATTCATTGAATCACCGCTTTGAACTTCGTATAGAGATAGGGACGTCTATGAGTGTCCGTTATTCTTTTGTTCAGTTGTGTGATGGACAAATTATTCTGCATGGCAGCCATCTATGGTTGTTGAGGAAAAGACAGGTGCAGAGTCTGCCAAATATCCGTAGCCTAGTTAAGCCAAGAGCTTCCTTAAGAGTCTACAAGGATTATTGTTCCAAATTCATCAATGCTTTTGTAGAGTGCTAAGCATTATTAGTTTTCTTAACTATCAGACGATACACATAGATCAATGATATATATATAAAGTCATGAGAGGTAAAATGAATATTAGGATATAACTGCGTTTTATCTATAAAAGGAATGCTGCTTCACCTGCACTTAGGCTCTGAATATTCTTTTCGTTTCAATATGTATTGTTCTTAAATTCCAGGGACCCTTTGCGTCTCTGTGTCTTGCATCTTTTAAAACTAATGTTGGTGGCGCAAAACTGACCAAAGATGCTTAAACGCAAGGGTGAAACGGATTGAAGTACCGAACACAAACGTGAATAGGCTTGAACATAAGGATGGCGCAAGGGTTCTTGTTTCGACCGACATCGTTAGGGTTTCTGTCAAACAACGACATTGGGATTTTGGCCAATCGGCGGTGTAAGTGGTGCCCAATTAACGAAAATATTTTAAACACTAAAATGAACAAAAAAAATTGGACACTTATCATTTTTTAAGATTTTAATATAATTATATTGTTTAATAATGATAATAAATATTACCTTTATGTTAAAGTATTTCATAATTTTAATTTCGTTAATGTATCATTTCATTTTCACTGTAAGATAATAAAATAACATATTTTAAACATTATTTTTTGGAAAATAAAATCAACATGTATTTTTAATATTGAAAGATTGTTTATTAAGGCCCAACAAGAATTTAATTAAGATAGATCACTAATATTTTCTTTGTTATCATTTAAAGTGTCTGACCACTAATGACAGTTAAAAAAATCATTAACTATTTAAAATATGACACTTAGCAAGTTTTATAATTTGTTGATTTTTTTAAAAGACATTTAAATTTGAATTTTATTCTCCATGTTTCACTAAATGTCCATTATTAATTTTAAAAAGTAAATTTTTTTAAATTTAGACTATAATTATTTTAAATATTTTAAACATTGAATTTTATAAAATATATATTTAAAAAATACTTGATTTAAAGTTTTTAAAATATACTTTTATATTTTTTTCAATTATAAATTATAAATTATAAATAATAATAAATTAAAGTTAAAAAATTGATAAAATCAACAATAAATAGATTTAATGTGATAAACTGAATAACATTTTTTTAACTTCTTAAGTAACATTATTAGTAATAAGAAATTTCAAATTTTAAATAAAGTACATATAATAAAAAAGGGAAAGTCACAACTAAAGAGAAATTGATTCAAGTTATAAGTTACTTATTATCACTTAAGTAATATTTTAAATTAGAATTTTTGTGTGTACAGAAATTTTTTATTGAAAGACTAATTCATTAAAGTTAAATATTTGACGTGGATAAATTCAGATTAGTAAATACGCATTCTGAAAACCAGAAGAAAAAAGATTCATGAATAAATCCACCGGAATTACAGACCTGTGAAGGGTAGGGAAAAAAACAAATTCAAAACTTGATGGACCACCCCAGGTTTGAACAGTCAAAAAGAAAGGCTTTACCTACTGTTGAAATCAGAGCATATTTAAAATAAAAAAATCTTAAAATACGCATAAATGTCAGGGCTCATCACTTTGACCGTCCGTCATTAACAGCTCCCACTGCTACAAGCCTCCCCGCAGGAAAAGAAAGCTCAAACTTATCTCCTCCGAGAAAAATTAAAAAACGCCGCTTCGCCGTTAAAGATCCATTTCGAGATCCGATTCATATGCCCGTATTATTCATCTCATGCTTCCCACTCACCTAACTTTTTTTCTTCCCAATCGGTAATTACTCTCTTTCGTTGTTTTTTTTTTTTGGTTGCGAATCTAATAGTTTCCGTTTTTGGCTTTTCGATCAATATTTTTCCCGTTAGATTTGTTTACTTTTTGTTTCATTTTTCATCACCTTAGATCCTTCTTTCCTTCTAAGTTTTCGGATTTTATTTCCTCGTGTATAACTTTTATTCTCTGAGTAGAGTGTTTTATTCTATAACTTCATGTGAAAAATAAACTATGATGAACTTAGTGCACTAAGGAAGAAAAGGATCTGTGCTTGATCTGACTTCGTGTAACTTTTTGGTTTAAATGTGTTTTTCTATATATGTTAGCTTATTATGATCTTCATAGGATTGTAGCTGTTTTTTTTTTGTTGCCATGCTATTTGAATGTTAGAGACGTTGCTGATTTCTTTTGAGGGAGTACCGTTGACATTGTTTTATATGTTTTACAAGTAATTTATTGAGTTGCTTTGCTGGTTTAAATAGGTGTTTTTCAACAGAGGATCTGTGAGATTCTCGTTTTGATTTTAGTTTAGTCCAATGGCATCGGTTAGCATAGCACCTACTTCTGGAGTAAGAGAACATAGTGGAAATACAGTTGGTTTTGAGAGATTGCCTAATGAAATGAATGATATGAAAATTAGGGATGACAAGGTATGCTGATAATTTTTCTAGTTTGTTTCGGTAATTGATTGTCGATCTTTCAGATCGATTTTACGAAACCTGTTACTATGCCGCAGGAAATGGAAGCAACTGTAGTTGATGGGAATGGAACCGAGACAGGGCATATAATTGTCACCACTATTGGTGGTAAAAATGGCCAGCCAAAGCAGGTTAGTTCAATTTTATAAGTTTCTCCTCAATAACCGGGTTTTTTTGTCTTGTTGTTTTTGTTTTTTTAACTTAAGCTGCCTCTCGTTTCAGACAATAAGCTATATGGCTGAGCGTGTCGTTGGGAACGGATCATTTGGGGTTGTCTTCCAGGTGCAGATTGACTTCATCCTCGTTATTCATTTATGTGAGAGAAGTTCAGATTCATATTCTAAGTTGAATTTTATTTATGTTGTGCTTCAGGCTAAATGTTTAGAGACAGGCGAAACTGTTGCTATAAAGAAGGTTCTTCAAGATAAGAGATATAAGAACCGTGAATTGCAAACCATGCGCCTCCTTGACCACCCTAATGTTGTCTCTTTGAAGCATTGTTTCTTCTCCACAACTGAAAAAGATGAGCTCTATCTTAATCTGGTGCTCGAGTATGTTCCGGAAACTGCCCATCGTGTTATCAAACATTACAATAAGATGAATCAAAGGATGCCACTGATATATGTGAAACTCTATTTTTACCAGGCATGATATTGGTTAAATATTCACCCTTTTTTATCTTATTTCTATATGACAAACAAGAAATCCATGTTAATGTGTAATCCAAATAATGAATTGGAATTGTCCTTGTCTTGATGCAGATTTGCAGAGCGCTTGCTTACATTCATGATAGTATTGGTGTTTGCCACAGGGACATAAAACCTCAAAACTTATTGGTATGTTGTTATTCACCTTGTTAAATTCGTTCTATTGGTGTTTTAGTACAGCGCTATCAGTTCTTAAATCTGATTATTAGTTGAGAAACATTACCCAGAAACAATGGTATTTCACCTTAATGATCTAAAAGGAGCACCAGGAGTTTGGCGAGGGAAAAACAATCTAGCATTCTAGTGTATGCATACTAATATGTTATAGTGTAAAATCTGAAACTTATGTTAAGGAGCTTTGCTGTTGCAAAAATTTAATCGTAATGGGTCTTTTAAGATTATATAAGCACTATTATCACCTTTACTTAATGTTTTCATATTTCCACTTGATTTCCCTTGTTGTCGAGTGAAAAAGTGTTGTTATTCACTTTGAGGAATTACTTAATTTTCCCATCTTATCTTTGTTTGCATATGAGGTTGGGTTTATCACTATGTAGTATTAACTCCTATTTTATGAATACACTCTCATTCATTCAATGGTTTCTTGTGACAGGTCAATCCACACACCCACCAGCTAAAACTTTGTGATTTTGGAAGTGCAAAAGTTTTGGTATGTACAAATTAAAATGTTAAATCTTTTCTTTTGGTTAGAAGCAATCTAGGTGTTCATATGTCTAATTTTTTGGTCTTACTTTTCCAGTTAAAAGGGGAACCAAATATATCTTACATCTGTTCTCGGTACTATCGAGCACCTGAATTGATATTTGGTGCAACTGAATACACACAGCCATTGACGTCTGGTCTGCTGGCTGTGTTTTAGCTGAGCTGTTGCTTGGACAGGTAGATCATTTTCTTGCCTGTATTTTTGTTATAAATATGTATTTCTCCTTATATTAATTAACTAATTTCCCATTTCAGCCCCTGTTTCCCGGTGAAAGTGGAGTAGACCAGCTAGTTGAAATTATTAAGGTAATTTTTTGTTCAAAATACCATTAACTGCTTTAACAATATCATTATTGTAAAATTGTAAAGTAATCGTGAAGGATGGAAGATATTAACCAATCCAAGTTCTTTCCTTATTCGCGGCACTTACATCCAGCATTCTAGATACTGGATTTCGGATTTATCCTACCATTCTTTCCGGTTTGATTACCTTTTCTTTTTAATTTTTTTCCTGATTTGTTTGATTGTGATGCAGGTTTTAGGTACCCCAACGAGAGAAGAAATAAAGTGCATGAATCCTAACTACACAGAGTTCAAATTTCCCCAAATTAAAGCACACCCATGGCACAAGGTAGTGGCGTTGAGATGGCATGTCATTTCTTAACTTTGTGAAATAGTTGATGTCTAATATGATATTGATCAATGTATCAACTAGATATTCCATAAGCGTATGCCTCCAGAGGCTGTGGATCTTGTTTCACGATTATTGCAGTACTCACCTAACCTTCGAAGTACAGCTGTAAGTATCAAATTGGTTACCAAATCTCTTATTCTTTTCTCTCTGTGGTCTGTATTCTTCATTTTAAATTGAAAAAAAGAATCAATTATGAGATTCCCTTAGAAGTTGTATTTCATATTTAGGTAATTATTTGTGGGGCTTAGATCTGACATGTCATAGATTCTGCATTTGATCTTTTTCTTCTGTTAACTTTAGTGTATTTGAAGTTGCTAGATATTTCCTATATGTGTACCATGTTATGATAATTGTTTTGTTTTCCTATACAGATTGAGGCTTTGATCCATCCTTTCTTTGATGAGCTACGGCATCCCAACACCCGCCTACCCAATGGACGCTTTCTTCCTCCGCTATTTAACTTCAAGCCTCATGGTAAGAAACAGACCAATACTCTGCTTTGATGCTCCGTCCATTTTAAAAATTTGTTATTGAATCATGCAACTGATGATTGTTGCTGTCCCGCCATATCATTTTCAGAACTGAAGGGAGTGCCTGTGGATATGCTAGTGAAGCTGATCCCCGAGCATGCAAGAAAGCAATGTGGCTTCCTTGGATTGTGAGGCAAGTTATTCCTTTTCTTGATATTTGCATCTTGCAGAAATGGCGTCTATTGTAATATCATATGGGAGCCATGTTATTGCATTTTCACCCTCAATGTTTATTTGGTCCCTCATTATTTTTTGTTACCAATATTTGTGTACTTTCGTTTTACTTATTGTATAAAGGAGACTTGAGATCGTCTGCTATTATAATTCAAAATGTTGTGAATACTATTCTAAGCGTTACCTAGAAACTGCATTTTGTTCATGTTCGTCAACAATTACGGTTTTCTCTTTTGCTTTTTCTTTTCTACTTTATCGATGGAGTTTCTTTTTCCTGTTTTACCGAATGATAACAACCCTTTGTCCCTCTCCCAATCCCATTACATACAAAGAACATCAAATAGTCATTATTTATTTATTCAAATAATGACCCAAAACAATGACCCAGAAGTTAGTTATACATACCTAAACGTGTTGTATGTTTTTAGAGATTGTGCAACTATCAATTTACCAAAAATGATCATCCAATCTATAATCTTTAATTGACTATTTATTTCTTGTGTATTATCTATCTTTAATTGACTAGCCATTGCTAATGCCATATTTTGCAACAATCAATTTACCAATAGTGATCATCCAATCAATATTTTGGTAAAATGATTAAAATAATATATTCCTATAGTTAGAGATTTCCCCCATTAATGCTGAGGTTTGTAATCTAGAAGATTGAAATAACACTATTACATTAAAACGAAGTCAAAATATTAGTTTGAGGAGGTTGAAGTACTTTATTTGAAAACTTAAGATTACTATAATATTATAATTTTTTGAATTTATTATGTAAATCGAAGATAAAATTAAAGATTTGGTAGAGGTGGGCTAGAGCCCCTCCACCATATAGAATAGCCCCGTCTCTTAGGCTTGAATACACTTACAAATACGTTTACTTTTACATTCAACTTGTCATATCATTATTCGTCTATTTTGCTTG